GGAAACCGCTAAGGGTGCCAGCGTGTATATATATACACATACACACACATATATATGTATATGAGCCACCCCTCATAGGTATCACGGAAGGGGTGACTGAGGCAAAAAAATACTCGGCCAATATTTCTAACATTCTTGCCCCGATTCTGCCACCCTTCGGGTTGGTGTGAGCGCAGTGGCGGATTCACTTTGCGCTCGGAGGAGGAGGAAACGACCGCAGGGCCAATCGAGGCTGGACGACGACCGAAGCTGGAAAGTTTTGCATGAAATTAACGTAGGAAAAATTACTGCTATTACCGGCGGTCTCTCCCGTACGTGCAGGCTACGGTAAGTCGGACGGAAGTGGTAAGAGCGAGGACCGTGGCGGACCGAGGGGGGTGAGAAGAAGGTGAGCGGACGGGCTATAATTATAAGTGTGGCCGTGACTAATTCAATTTTCTCCATCTGGTAGCGATTTGCAGGGGCAGAATAACTATGGGAAACGCGAGACTGCGCGACGATAAAAGCGACGACACGCTGGATAATAGCCGCAGGAAGCGTTGTCTGGTAGCGCAGTAAGATAGGGGTAGCTGAGGTAAAGAGAAAAGACGATAGCGCCTTCCACAACGAAGAGGAGTAACGCTCGGCTGGGTAAATAAGTTCCGTTTAAATGTAATATCCCGTTGAATTGTGTGCCTCGGGGTTACCGTCACCGCCATCATCGTCGTCGAAATCCGATACGCACACACTTGGCAGGTCGATACAGCGCCGGTTACTTAACGTTTACTAACTATTCATCATTCGCAGTATCGCCCCTTTCGTCTCGTTCCCACGTCTCTCTCCCTCTTCCTCTCTCTCTCTCTCTCTCTTTCTCTGTCTCTCTATTTCCTTCAGTTTCTCTCTCGTTTTCAGACCGCTGTCGGAAATTTTGACAGGAGGAATATCGTGGAAACGAGAGACACCGTTTGCCGCAACGATAAAGAAACGAGAACTTCATTCCCGGATTTCACGCGTCTCTCTTACGTTCGTTGACTCATCGTATTTTATTCTTGACGCTTCTCTCGCCTCTCTAACGCGTATCCCAAAATGACGCTGTGCCTCGTGCATATTCCGTGGCAACGCGAAGCCGCGAGCTACGCGACGAGAAGGAAATTATTTTATTTCGCACTTCGAAATATCACCCTGCGCAGACTCATTCATATTCATGCCCACGCCTGAGCACTTCGTCTCCGAAATGTGCCGTGCCGGTGGTCGTGCCGGTTAGTTTAAGATTCAAGCACGATCTTCTTATTCGGCCTAACTCCGTCCCTTATTCCCTTATCGTCTTTGATTTTGTCTCTTAACGAGGACAAATATTACTTGCAATATGGTATGTCCGATGTGTTCCAAATTTAGAAGTATTCAAATTTTCTGCCGATTTTTCGTAACGTGATGTAAATTATTGTTTTCGTATTTTAATTTGTATCAATTCATATTAATATTACTTCATACTCGTCAGTATTAAAGATTATTCATGAATTGTAGCAAATGTGTAAAACATTGCTCTAATATGAACAATTAAAAACAGGCATCGCGAAAGGTCTCCTTGAAGCAATAAAAGAATATTGTCATCATTAATTAATTTTAATGTAAAATCTATTTATCTTATTATTATTAATCGTTATATTCCTGATATGTAGAAATCGTATCTGCCAACTTTATTTTTTGTATAGCTTATATCGTCATTCGCACATGAATGAGATGACAATCGGTTCGTCTTCGCAAATTACAATCGGATCGTATTCAGAATGCAAGGTCTAGTTACGAATCTGATTGTCTTACGACGAGTGAACTCTCTACAAATAATGCCATCTCCTTAGTTTATCTAAACAACCCCAACTTCCCACATTGTCCGCTTAACGCAAACGACTCGGTTGATTAGGGTGCAAACGAACCGTAAGCATTAAATTATTCATCATCCATTCTACATTCGGGACGGTTAATTAACAGTTTAGTTGATATCCGATTAGTTTACGTTATTAATACGATATGATTAAAACTTTTTTGGGTCATGTGCTGAAAATAAATTCCCTTTAGCTTGATTAAAATACGATAACAGCAACTACACGAAGTTATCTCAGCCCCTGTCCTCATTATTATATATGATACGTCAGAGTCTAATAATCAGTTATAATCAATTACATCGAAAGAAAAAAAGAAATGTTAAAATAAATATGAACCCTATATACATAATAGTGTTTTATTATAATATTATAATATTATTTAATATTATTATAATATTATTAATATTATTATAATATTATAATATTATTATTTCGATATTTCGTAGTGTTTTATTATAATATTATAATATGAATAATATTATTATTTCGATATTTAAAAAAAAATTAAGAATTATTTAATAATCAATATACTTTAAATAATTGTTTTGCTCGAAATTATCGTCATTATTCCACCTTTCGGAATAGAACACTTTGTGTATCGATTTCAATTAATATTTTACATGCATAGACTCTATATTACGCGTATATACATAACATATATACGGTAACGTCGTTATTACGTTTTTATTACCATCAATTGCAAAACAATGATGTGACAACAAACATCTATATTAAAAGTCTCACGAGAAATCTACGCGGTGCGAAATATCGTAAAGAAATGTCGACTCCATTCGGAGCGAAGCGTAAAGGCTGTCGCTCCTTTTCTCGGGGAATTGGTCAGATCGTAAGATTTCCCGAGTGCCCATGTTACCGATTAGCCTCGACGCATACGACGGCGGGGGGGATCGCGTTCCGGGAGATTTCTCTTCGTCGGGGAAACAGGTAGAGTGGGAAATCGGACGGGAAGGAAGGAAGGAAGGAAGGAAGGAAGGAAGGAAACGTCGAACGCGAGCGTAACGCGATAGACTTCTCTCTAAGAGCACGAGAAATTATAGGGGAGGAAGGAACAGGAGGGTGGCAAGTCGAGCGACGGCGCGTAACACCATTGTGACGAATGATTCGCGCGTGTTCCATCGAACACCATCGCTGCGACCAGCGCGCGCGATGCTGGTACCTTCTGTCCCGAAGCTGGCGAGGCACGGCTTCGAAATCACGGGTGTCGGTGATATCGATCGGGCGCGAAACGGGCAAATAGAAGGGGATGCGAAGGGTAAAGGGACGGGAAGGAAGGCCACTTAGAGAGCCATTGCGTACCGAAATTTTCTCTCTCCGCAGGAAGATTTTCGTCGCAGATTTTTGCGAACAAAAAGACTGAAAATTCCGACGAGGAAGACGAGAATGTAGAGAACCAGGGAGAACCGTAGATGGTGATAGCGGGCGATATAGATGGGCCAGAGGGTAGATGAGTGGGCGGATGCGGTGGAGACGGCGGAGATTTCATCCGGCTTTTGTGACGCGACTGATATATTTTTATCTGGCGTCGGGATTCGACGACTGTGTGTGCTCGAACCGCTTCTAACCGAGCGTGCTCGTCTGATATCGATCTGATAAAACATATGCAAATGGTTATTAAGCTATGTTATGAACGAAAGCGAGACGTTCAATTCGATTCGCGGGATCCTGCCGGAATTTTGTCGCTTATTAATCATGAAACTACGTTGAAAATTCGAGCTTACATCGACGATACATTGTTCATGTAGGTACTGAATATAGCATCGGTATAAAATACACGAAAATGTAGCATGTAGCTGCAATTTATAAAAGCTATGAATGGAGTTTTTAAGTATTTGATACTCTTCATATGCAGAGAGAAAAATATTGTTGTTTTTCCACAAATTTGACATTCGAATTATTTTTAGAATAAAAATATGTACTCTTTTATTTTTATAATGAATGAAAAAATATGGCTATTATAATTACATTCTGCACTTTCATTCACGCACTCATATTTTCACAAATATTAAAATAAAATTATTAACGGCAATTATTTTACATGTGTTTTATTGTTATCTTTATCAATATTTGACTTGCAAATAAATGAGAACAATGACCTATTATATATAATTACATCTATAAAAATGCATAAAACAATTAAAATAATAAATAATATTAATACATTACATACATTTTTTACTTAAATAATATTAATACATTACATACATTTTTTAATTAAACATAATTCAAATCATAATACAAAGCAATAGTCAAATCTTTTTCTAAACTGATATGTAAAGAAAACTATACAGAAGTACATGCAACTATAAATAATATTGTCTTGTACTAAACGACTATTCTATATATTGCTTTTGAATTCTACGGCAATCTCCGAAATTTCTCATGAAATTGAAATAATAGTATTGCTTTTTTTACTTTACCCATTGTTTGATGTACGCTATCCGCCGCATATAATAAATGTTATTTGCATTATGCGATTCGACAAAAACAGCTTGTATTATCGATTTACCGTTTCTCATATATAATCGATATACGAGGCGAAAAAAATCGCGCAGTGTGAAAATCCATTGCTAGGCGACGGCACAGTGAAAAAGAAAATGGAAAAGGGGATTTTTTTTCAATAAAGATTATAAATATAAAAAACAATTTGCGCTCGATAAACCCATAGCGGCTTTATCGTTCGATGTATTATTGAAAAGGGCTCGAAATGTCGGCTATGGATAAGAATCGAGCTGCGGCAGGAGGGAAAGTTATTTTACAAGCAAGCGGATATACCGAGGCGCGAAATGGACCATTTCATGAAGTATCCGCAACCCCACGTACAATGCGATATATACGCGAGCGCATACATATGCAGTGTCGTTAACGTAACAACGAAAGCGTCCGGTGCTTCGTAATTTATTTTGGCCTTTAACGCAAACAACAAGGACGATAATGCCCGGTTCCGGCTGACACTCGCAATGTGCAGAGCCGCGCGAGTACGATTTTCGACATCGAATGCGTCCTCGCAACATCCCGCGGGATCTAGCTGCTTTCGCTAGTGATTTCCGGCTGGATTGCGCTCATCAACCTATGGTCACTCATTGTTATTGTAACTGTCCGATAATGATGTATCCTGCGTACCGTGATGGTGGCCCGACGTTCCCAATAGATTCCTCGCTTGCCGTCCTGCAACACGAGAAGAGTATGCGGATGTTAGATATCAAAAATCTGTCCATCATCAATCCTGTAATTCAAGATTTATAAGGTATTTCATTCCTCTCTATCTATCAACTATTCAAATCCATTATAGATTTTCGTATTGATGTCAATATCTGTAGTATAATATATAAAAAAGATTCGCATATTCGGTTATTTCAGGTATAACTCAAAATTAATTAATTCTTGCGTTTCGCTTGTTTATCGAGGTTATTGTGACAATGATATATCAATGTGAAACAACATCGGAGATCGTATCAAAGAGCGGATCAACGTGAAAAACGGTATCGAAAATCCGATTAAATAAAAAAAATATCCATGAATTAGTTTAATCGAAATCAATTAAATCGAGACACGTAGGATTTCGAGTATTTTCGTACTACTCATGAACTTGGTTAATAGACGAATATTTCACCATAGAAATACTTGTCCTATATTGGGCAACGTATTACGTTAGTCCATGTCTGTTGTAGAAAAAATTCGTTTGCGAAATAAAAAAATAATTGGAATTTTTCTATATATTCTATAAAATTTCATACAAGCAAACTATCGTAAAAAAATCATTAATTTTGTTATACAAATATATCTTCAAAAATAGATATAAATATGCCATTCAAACGTTAGATTCATTTTAATTCTAAAATTTAAAAAAAAATAAAATTTAATATTTATTAGTCTTTTATATAAGTTCAAACAATTGATAATTAAGCTAAAATAATTTATAATAAACATACTACTAGTAAACTGCTATGCTAGTAAGATAAAATGGCACTTATTAGGAATATTTCATCCGCGAATATGTCACTTTGTGAAACAATACTGTAGATTTACATGCGAGATGGCGCATCGAAGTGACAAGTGACATAGGATGAACATGGGTATGCACCGGCAGGAACATCGTTTATGCCGTTCACAAGTGACGCACGTCACTTTGAAAGCACGACTTATATGAGACATTTATCTCCTTATCACATTAAATGTAAGAGAGAGAGGGAGAGAGAGAGAGGAGCAAGGGAAGTGTGTGTGTGTGTGTGTGTGTATGTGTCTGTGTGTGTGTGGGTGTGCGCGCGCGCGCACGTTAATATATTATTATCTAAAAAAGTTACACAAAAGTATAATCGAATAAAAAATTCATATAAGTTTAAATATTATATAAGTATAAATATTATATTGATATTAATTAATAGATTAATTAATATTGTTCTAGTGAATTTTATAAAGAAAAAAACATGAAAAAATTCATAATGTAGTCGCAAAATTTTTTATTAGAGATAAAGATTACGAAAAAAAGTTTTTTATTCATATATCTGATTTCGCATGTGCTATAATTTTTCTCTATATACATTTCTACCATCATCTCTTGTGCAATGAAAGATAAAATGTCGAATTATTGCAGCGGTAATCAAGCCAAGTTCTGATTCATATAAAATTAAAAATATAGAAAATTACTATTATACAACTTCATTTGAGATTATAAATGTGGATTATTATATAAAAACCTATTCGAGCATTTTATTTCAGATCTTACTGGAGAAAATAAAACAATCGAAAGTATTATCATTATATTTATATCTGGTTATAATTAAAGAATAATTAAACAAAGTAATAACAAGAAAATTTTTTCACAAAGGTGGCATTTCAGTTGTTGAATAAGAATTTCTTCTTTGTTATTATTAAAATACTAAAAGAAAATTAAACTTGTTTAATTATAACCAGGTATAAATATAATAACAATACTTTTTTTTTATTTTCTATTGTTATTATTAATAATTACAAAAATGTTGCCTTTCAAAGTTAGGTATGTCCCCGGCTTGCCCTATTTATTTACAAATATATATATATAGAGAGAGAGGGAGAGAGAGAGAGAGAGAGAGAGAGAGAGAGAGAGAGAGAGAGAGAGAGAGAGAGAGAGAGATTGTTTTATATTCTATATAGATGAAATAGTTTAATGTCTATCTACTGAGTATTACTAAATGGTGACTACTAAATGGATAAAATGTAAAACTGTTGCATATATGTATGTGTATATTGTTGCGATGCAAATCGATGTATATGAATCATCACGAGTTTTATGCATGGCAATGTGTGATAGCGTTGTGATATTTTCCAACGAATTCGAGGTGACGAAACTATCTAAACTTGGAGATTATGACAACCGTTTGTCGCGAGTTTAACGATGTTCAGTGACGGCGCTTCCCCAATAGTTATATAACTTCGTGCGTCTCATAAATGCGAGCCACGGAGCAACTTGAGGATAATTACATTCGCAGATGACAGAGGGTAAAATTACTTGCATTATGAGCACGAGAATAGTAGATTACACAAGGGAAATGTGAATTTGTAAAAGCCAATATATACGCATGTTTTGTGTCTTGTATGCAAGTGAAAATTTCAAATAATTACGTGTACTGGGAGCAATTGTTCTGAGTAAGCAATAAATTAATAGCAAACATAAATTTATCGAAATGTTTCACTCCCATTTAAATTTAACTTTATATAAAAAATTTATGACGATTTTTACGAGATATTTTTTCCAATAAACACACACACACATACGCACATATGTAATTTTGAAACAAATGTATAGCATGAGAAAACGTTTATTAAAACCACAAATCAAATAAAAATATGTTTACATCTAATTTATTCACTCTCTATTAAAACTGTTGTTTGTTTTTATATTTTTTACTGATATGCAATATATACATATGTACATATCACAAATAAGTTTATGATATATTAAGCACTTTCCTGACTAGACAACTTAATGAGACGATAAAAATCACAGCATAATATCTTCGCATTTATCCATTTTATACGATATTTCTGCGATATTTCTGCTATTATCTTGCATTTTCAAATTTTCGTTGTCACAAACTTAAATTAAATTCCATTGACCACAATCGCTATTTTATTCAAGCTTTGCTAACAGTGTATTGCTAAGGAAGGTTTCATTGTGTAGTTCGGATACGAGCCATTGTGCCACGTCGCTCTTCTTTTCCTCTACTCACTCGCTGGCACAGCCACCACTACGTAATTGCGCAAGTGCATTTTCTGCGCCATGGCGCCGGTGTTTCAAGCGGCCGCATTTATTTAGGACGTGGTCTCCTCATGACATTGTGTGATATCGCGTGCGTCCGTGGTAAGATTAATGGACCAATCTTGGCGCCGAGCACGGTTACGCGCAATCAGGAGACAGCTTTTCGGAGCTTCAGCCTTTCATCGTGATAGCAATGTAGATACATATCCAACGTGGCTCGCTTACGCTCGAGCTATTCAAGTCTACAGTATTTACTTTACGTTCCGTCATGTAAGCCTCGTAAAATGCAACACGCGCTTACGGTTCACGCGTAACACGGTTCCCGGTATAAAGTCGGAAGTGTATGTCGTATGCAGAACGAAAAACAAGTGTTATTGCCGTGAATAAAATTCATTTTTTACAATTATAATATTATCATATTGCTCGATTTTGGAGCAACGCGAACACCATATTAAAAGCAAAATTTGAGACAGTTAATATAACATGGCTTTTCTCATTTCCTATAAACACAGAGATTGCAAAGACGTAGTGATCGATTATTGAACAATGTAATATTTGTTACGGATGATCAGGTCACTCGGGAATGAAACCGATTTGTCTTTTCTCCTGAATTCGTTTTCGAAAAGTCAAACTGCCAGAAACTATTTATCAAGCAACTGGAAAAGCTCTGAAAAAAAGGAAACAAGTCGCGAGAAAGAATAATGAGCCTGGTTGAAAAATTGAGACACTTCACTAAATTATTGTTGTTCTCTTCGTATTAAGTTTATTCGTTATATCGGTGCGAAATGTCCATTATTTATTGATCTTGAAATCATGTATTTCATATTAGATTCTTATATTAATAATCATACTACTTTTTCTTATAACACAATTTGATTATTACGTAAAAGAAGTCTAAATACATACAAATTATGACGGAGAGTTTAATTGCTAATATTATGCGGATTGTGCAGTAATTTATGCATCAGTTGAAACATTATAAATGTACGCAATATGAATGTAAATAGAAATAGTTATCATCGAGCTTTACAATGAATATAATATTTCATTAGCGAAAGAATTCGCATAATTGATAATTTTTTTTCACTAAAGAAACGACAAATAGTCTCATTGTTACGGTTATCCAATTAAATAAATGAAAGCTGAGACAGAATAGGAGGTAAAGGCAGATTACATGCCTTTGTAATCCAATGGTATTATTTCATAGTGAACATTATCTTACTATGTCCAACTATAGAACACTTTTGGTTGGATTAACTTCATTGTTCGAAATCCAAGCGTATGACATTACGTATTTGTACGATAGTAATATATTTCCACATTTCTCACACGCACCTTCCCAACTACACATCTCTACATTTCATTGCCATTATGGAACGTTGACTTACGGCGAATAATACAAGTCATAGCCTGCTTAACATAATTTCGTGCACATTGATTATTCACTTTGTCCCGCCCAATGGTTCTCGACCGCATGTAAATTCCCGAAGGATCGTGAGTCTCCAAGCGACACTAGGAAGTTACACGACGAAATAAGGTACAGTGCCTAATATAGCTTTATACGCCCAAAGGAGTGTTTTACCCAAGTTGGTTCGTTCCGGTCTGTCGCCACTTTTCCGATAGGCTCTTTAACTAATTCAAGCGACAGCACCATAACAACTGAGATAAAATTCAGCAGAGAATTAAAAAGGCAAAGGCTGGAGAGGCAGAATGTTCAACTCATCCGCATCGCTTGAATGTTAAATCGATGAACATTTCCTTCGTTAAAACTCGAATTAATTAATAAATTACAAATGGCAGAAAAAAACAAATGAGAAATATAAATGAGAAATATAATTTAAGAAATAAATATTATATTCTTCTATAGTGAACGTCTAAAAAAAAATGAAGTATTTTCTCTTATTTTAACAATGTTTTTTCACTATAATTA